CACCAGCAGGCCCGGCGCGGGACCCAGCCCAGTCAGTCCAAGCCAGCGCCTAACCGCCCGGTTCAGCCCGAGCCGGCGGTCTGGCAAGTCAGTGAACTGGCCGTTCAACCGACGGTTCGAGCCAGTTTCAGTCCGAGCTATTTGGCTCAATTTTTCCAGTCCGAGTATGTTATGGTGAATTTTAGTATTTTTTTTTTTAGCCAAACCAGTCCAGTCTTAGCAATTAAATAAATCTAAGCATATTAGCATATAATTATATATTCCGAGCATGATACTTAGCATTATTTTGCTTAAATGTTTATGTAGCCTAAGGAGAGTCGAGGTTCTGACCGCTACTCCATTTTCCAGCACTTGTGTCAGTTCAGTTATCAGGTGGGGGTCATGTATTGGGTTCCACATCATATATAATATTGGTACCATGGCAGAGGTATGTTCGAGACAGTTAGTTTCTCCAGGTGGAGGCCGAGGGCCTTAATATCCTATCTGGAGACCCGGTGGAGGCCAAGGGCCTTAATATCCCATCGGGGTGTGCACACGAGCGGCCAAGGGCCGAGGGTCTTTTGACCATAGTAAAGCAAGAAAAAAAAGTTTACAGATTAAGCTCTTATATATTTATGTTCATGATACGATATTATAAATGCTGTTTTATTCAGTACTGGTCTTTGCGGAGCATAGTGGTTTGCTAACGCCCCCATTGTGTTTTTCAGGAGACGGAGTCGAGCGTGCCGGGTGAGCATAGACGTTGCAAAGCATGGTCATGAGAGTGTTATCATCCGACTCGGCAAGCATTGTTTAAGAGACCTAAGCTCCATTGTTAAGTGAAGTTAACTATTGAACCGACGTGATCCGAAACCACATCAGTCCACGCAATGAACCGGTCCGAACTACCGAAGACCGAAGCAACTTACACTTACCGAGGTCAACTGAAACCGAGGTCGTCACCTCCCAAAGCAGGTGACAAGGCACCTACTCACCCCTATCACAATCCAGGAGATTTGTCATCATTCACATGGGGCCCATTGATCCTGCCGCCCATTAAAAAGTAGCTTTATGAAAAAGCTAATGCACAAATCCCGAGATGTACGTAAAAAGTTGCTATAAATAGACTGCCTACAACACTTGTACGGGGGGATTTTTCCCGAACTCATTAATATGCAACACGTAACAGCCCATAACGGCTCTTCACCTCGGTTCACCTCAGACCGTGGCCATTGTTGAGTTATGTTGACATGCTTTACGTCCAAACTGTTCGTAATTATCCACTTAATCACTTGTTACATCGTTGTTAGAAATCATATAACAACAACCTCCATGTTCCTCCCCAGTTGTTCCTTAAAGATTTTATCGACCAACCTTTGATACGTGGCGCCCGCGTTCTTTAGGCCGAACGGCATGACCACGTAACAATAGGTCCCTCGACTCGTTACGAAACTCACCCGCTTCTGTCCTCTCTCGCCAAGGGAATTTGATGGTATCCCTGGGAGGCATCCATCAGGCTCAACAGCTTGCACCCTGCCGTCGAGTCGACCAGCTGGTCAATCCTGGGCAGTGGATATAAATCCTTTGGGCATGATTTGTTCAGATCGCGGAAATCGATGCACATCCTCCATTTTCCTTCCGCCTTCGACACCATCACCGTGTTTGACAACCATTCAGGGAACTGGATCTCCTTTATGTGCCCCGCTCCCAACAGTTTCTCGACCTCCTACTCAATGATTTTATCCATCTCCGCCCAATGGTGTCTTCTTTTCTGTTTCACCGGCCTTACGCTGAGGTCGATGTTTAGCCGATGTTCGATCACCTCCGCACTTATCCCCATTAATTCCTCCGCTGTATAGGCGAAAATGTCAGCGAACTCCCTAACCAGATCGATCAGCCTCGACCGAATAGGCTCCCCTAGATCCTTTCCAATTCTGAACTTCCTCCCTTCACACCCTTCGATCATCTGAATCTCCTCGACTTCTCCCCCTGGCTGGATATCCATCTTCTCCTTGCCCTTCTCAGCTTTCTGCTTATCCTCCTTTGACCTCGATCCTCCTGGTCGATTAATCTCCTCCCCGGACTGGGCCTTCCTCCTCGCCAGCTGCTTATTATTGCTCACCGTAGTTTGGTAGCAGCTCCTCGAGGTGAGCTGGTCCCCAGCGATCTCCCCTACGTTTTCGCCCACCGGATATTTAATCGTCATGTGGTACGTGGATACGATCGCCTGGAACGCGTTCAAGCTCGTCCGCCCCATAATTATGTTATAAGATGATTCAGCTCCTACGACCACAAACCTTACCATGCGCACCTTCCTCAGTTCGCCCACTCCCAGCGCCACCGGCAAACTCACCTCGCCCATCGGCATCACCTCTCCCCCATTAAAGCCATAGAGTGCCGTGGTCACCGGTTTCAACTCCGCATTCAACTCCTTGTTAATCTGCACAAAACAGTCATAGAACACCACATCTACCGAACTCCCGGTGTCAATGAACACCCTCTTCATATCGAAGCCTGCTACCTCCGCGGTTATCACCAAGGCATCGTTGTGCGGCAGGACCACCCCCTCGGCATCCTCCGCCTTAAAACTTATCACCGGCATGCGGGCAGTAATCCCCACCTCCTCTCTCTTCCTCTTCACCGCTCGAGCGTGCTCCTTCCTGGCCCTATTTGAGTCACCATCAGTTGGCCCACCGGAAATCATGTAAATCGTTCCTCTCTTCATCGGGCCTCTCCTCCATGCCCTCCCTTATCACCATCTCTCCTTGGCTTCTTTCCTCGACCGTCTCGCCCATCTCCCTCCTCATCTCTGTCACTCCTTTCCTCCGAGTCTTCCCTACACCTTCTTCTTCCTTTCCCTTTCACCCTGTCATGACACACAAATTCTTTCAAATATCCCGCTCGAATCAGCCTCTCGATCTCATCCTTTAAATGTCTGCAATTCTCTGTGGTGTGACCATAATCTCGGTGAAAGCGACAGTAAATATCCGACCTAGGTCGAATTGGGCCTGTAAACCTCGTCTTCGGCCAAGTCACATCCTCACTCGACATCTTCTACTCCATGGCCTTGAAGACCTCCGTCATGTCTTTCCTCAAGGGCGTGAAAGTGTGGTACCCTTGTCTCTCGAACAACATCGGCCTCCTCTTCCACTCATCTCTCTTCTCCCTTTTCGAATCTCGACTCTTTCTTCGGGGTGATGCCCTCTTCTGCCCACTCCGTTTGGGCAAATTCCTCCTCGGTGATCTCCCCCTCTGCGGACTTTTCTCCTTTTTCGGCTCTGGTCGAGCCACTCCCTCCAACTTTGCAAACTCCATCTCCATCTCCTCCAAGTTAATATACTTCCTGCACCGCTTCAGCACATCCTCATATGATCGAGCAGGGGTTTTTGCTAGGGAAGTTCGACAAGGCCGTGCTCGAAGACTCCGTATCAATCCACCTGCCTTCACCTCGTCCGAAGCCGAGTGCACCTCTAAACATGTTTGGTTATATCGAGCAACGTACTTCCTTAATGATTCCTTCTCCCCCTGCCTCATCGCCATCAAAGTCAAATACGTTTTCTCCTGCACCACCGCGCTCGAATATTGATTGATAAGCTTGCCAGTAAGGTCCTCAAAGCTCGCGATCAACCCAGGTGGAAGTTGATGAAACCAATTGAGTTTTCCTCCACGCAGGGTCGATAAAAATGCCCTGCAACAAACGGAATCAGAGTACCCATGCAACACAGCCATATTTTCAAAGGTCCTCACATGCCTCGATGGGTCAGATGACCCGTCATTCACCAAGTTGGTCTCCTTAAAATTGTTTGGCAAAGGAGCAGCGAGAATCTCCCTTGAAAAGGGATGTCCTCGAGCTCTCCTCTCTGGCCTCCCCTCCACCTTGTCTTGCAGCTGGCGCAACTGCTCCGCCATCCTCTCGATTGCCCGATCTCTTCCAGCTCCTCCTTCTCCATAGCTAGACACATTCTCATCCTGGCTTCCGGCCACCGTGGTCGGCGCGGTGGTGGCATGAGATGTATGACTCGCCACTTGCTGCACCGCCTGCGCTGCCGCGGCCGCCGCTATCCTTTGCATCTCCTCTCGGGTCATTGCCACCATTTGTTGGTCGGGGGCTTGTATGGCTGCCTGTGGTGGCACTCCTCCTTGCGCCAGCACTCCTCTCTGCCCTTGTGTTGGATCTGGTGGTGGTGGCATCGCCGCTGCCGCTGCTACACGAGCCTCCTGGGCCTGACCGGAGCTGGCATCTCCTCCGGGAATCACCGTCGTCACTCCTACACCTTGGAAGTTAGGTGCGGGAGTGACCGGAGTTTGCGATGGGCCGAAAAAGCCCGGAGGAGGGTCGTGCCCCAACGGCCTGGTCGTCGTCCAAGCTTCATCGAACGTCGACTGCAAGTTTTTAGGAATTCCGTCCGCAATAGCTGAGCTTCAAACACAACTTTTTGAACAAAGAATCCCCACAGACGGCGCCAATAATGCAAGTGTAAGCGTCCTGGCCCGGTTTGAACGGATAGACCTGGGTCCTTGCCGATAGAACGTCGGGAACCTGCAAATAACTCTCACACCGGGGGTTGTGTCCGGTGAAGAGCCTCCAATGCTTAAGTCAGTATGTGTATCAGTATACCGCAATGAAGTATGAAAAAGTAGAATGTGTTGAAGGAAAAAGGCTCACCCCCTTTATATAGGGGTGAGATACTTGCCCTAATAGCTGCCCGGATAAGGATGAGCTGGCTGCCCAAGCTGCCCGTCCGTACCCTGGCACGCCGCGCACATGTCAGAGGTGGCGGGGCGTTGGGGACTGTCAGAGGTGGTTATCAGTATCATCCAATACATTGTCGACACGTGTCCCCCCTGCACATGGAAATATTCTCCTCGGACTCAGTTGGAGGCTCTTACGCGCGCCCATGATACACGCGCCCATGACTAGGCCGACTGTTAGTTCCTTGAAGCGATGGACCTGTTGAGGTCGAATAGGTTGCTCGATCATGTATCTAATCGAGCGATGGGTTGCTCGATCGTTAGCCTGGTCGTGTGGTGGACTGGTCGACCACCTGCCTGGTCGATTTCCTGAATGTTCGATCTTCCCGCCCTTTTGCTTGGCTCCCTCTTGGTTTAACCTTCTCGACCGGCCCAGCAGACCGGTTTAGCCTTGTGTATATAATATCCCATATCAAGCGTCATTCCTCCGTCGCTAGAACAACGAGCTCGAACTCTCCAGCGCCAATCTCTCCTGTTGCGTGGCCTATTTAACATATGTTACAAAGTCTACATTTATAATCGTTAGTGTTCTGTAACACCCCACTTTGATTTTAATGAAATCCCAGGCTTTTCAAAAATCAAGTAAACAATTTTCGATATCATTTTAAAAAATACATGGGTTTTAAACAACAATTTACTTAGCCCAAGTCTTATCTGGACTCACGGGGATTCCCGATTCTTCACAAATGGTTTTCATAAACCGATTCTCAAAACATAACATAATCTTAGCTTTAATCATAAAGCATGCATAAATTGGAATTTCATAAATCCAAACATCATGAGTATTTCGAATCCAACATAAACCAAAACACAAGTTCGAAAACAGATTTTCAACAAGTCTCAACATAATTCATGATAATACGAAAGCAATAAAATAACTAAGGACTACCCACTCGTCTCACTTCGTCACCCGCCAACTGCTTAACCTGCATCCATGAAGAGCAGGTGGGAGTGAGCACAAATGATAAAGTAGTGCTCACTATGCACATAATAACATGTAAAGATGGCATGGTCTCAGCATGAATATAAATCAATCATCATCATGTCTCATCTCCTAATAATCACAACACTAACTCACTCATGTGCATATCTATCATTAGCCGCGGAAAGGGGATGCATAAACCCTAACGATGGGAGTGTGTGCCACTGTAACGGACACGGCCTTTCTTAGGTCTTAAGGAGACTTGCCTCGCAAGGGAAACCATACCGTAACTCGATGGAGACAACCATACCGATGGCCGTAACAGCTCACATTGGTAGGCCACAAGATTCACATTCATACATTGGTCATACCAACTAAACATTAAACCACACGTATGGCATAGAAAATTTTATAGGTAAACCCACCTGGATACTGGATTGACGATAGCAAAATCAGAAAGGACGTAGGTTGCGGCTTAACTCCTCAAGAACCTACATTAAGTCAAGATTCTTACAATCAATATCTATCTCGACTTAGACGAAGAAACACAAATCAGACTTAGTCGAACTTGATTCGGCTAAGTTATTCGTGAAGTCCTGTGGACGTTGGAACACTTAGACTCGACACTACACTCAACCAAAATATACATTGGAGTTCACATAAGTCAAACTAACGATTGCCCAAGTTAAACAACAAGAAACGAAAAGCTAGCCAAATTACAACTTTTACTCAAAAATCATATTTCTAATTTATTAGCCAAATAACAAAATTAAGTTGATCTAGTTGGCATATAGTTTGGACTCTGAAATTTTAACCAAAAATACATCTCCCATTACTTTGAAAAACCACCAAGTTTCAGCCTTAAATTCAAAGTACATGATTTTATAAAATTCAAATACGATATCAGCAAAGATGAGCATAAAATTCAAAGCCCGACCTAACGAACGAATTAGCACATGGGATTTTTACTGGAGAAAGTTCAGAAATTAAGGATCCACATATAAAAATTCCAGCAATTAACATCAATAACACAATTTATGAAAATTCATACGGTTTTCTGCAGTTTTTGAATTTCAATTACAACAGGAAAAGTTTGAACTCCAAAAATTCCAATATTTTTAAAGCATGAAAGTACACATAAATCAAGCATCTCAGCCAAAATTCTATACATTTTAGCAAAAATCGTAAACAAATTATTTACCCTATCTATCTCAGTCCAAAAATTCTATACATTTTACACAAGGCATATATCCGACAGAGAGACAATATATTAAAATTTCATAAATTTTGGAGCACGGACCGATTTATTATGAATTTAATACGTTTCTGCCCAGAAAACACTTCAATTTTTAAAAATAGCTACAGGCCGTGAAAAATTATGAAACTTTTACACAAGCTATAAGGTAGATACAATTAAATTTCATAGCATTCCGATTAGTATACATTTTTTAAGAATTCAAACACCAAAACAGCGAACATACGAATTTGATAAATTCACATTCTACTCAAACATATATATCTCGTCTGAGGCCTTCTCTTAAGGCCTAGACCTATCCCAATATCCACAGTCTTACACATGTTTCGAGGTCCCACTCGATCCCTCAAAGCCGAGGAGGTCCACAAAACACAACAACACAATAAATCATTTAATTACATAACACATTAACACGAACGTTTAATCGCAAGGGCTCGCACAATACGTAATTTAAACACATATACAACCAATATAAATGATATAACGATATAACGAGACGAGGTTCGACTAGGTACCGTTCTCGGGAAAAACTCAAAGAAACGGGACGTAGGGCACGAACGGGGCTCGACGAATAACACGTGACGAATGAAACGGCACGGCTCGGTACTGTACGAACAGCGGCGGTGGATGGGACCTGATCATACTCGTGACGGGAAAGATGCAGCGACGGAGGTTACAGGCACGCCGGACTGGTTCACAGTGGTAGAACTCGCCGGTTGTTGGCTTGTACGGAGAAGGGCTCGCCGGGAACTTGTTGTCCGAGAGCAGTGATCACGACGGGGCCTGACACGAAAGAGGTCGCTGGAGTTGCTGTGCGACGTGGGGGAACAGTAGACGGTGGTCGAAGGCGCTGCGCGTGGAGAGGTAGCGGCGACTGGGCTGCTGTTCGCGACCGGGACGACGGAGAACGGTCGAAATATGATGGCCTGAACTCCTCGCACAATGATTTATCGCAGGCGACTCTGGACTTGAGCGTTAATTCGCGCGGGTACAATGATGTTGGAGAGGCACACTGACTTCGCGACCAAGAAAGGGTGGTGATCGGCTTGCTGGTCGCGGGCGTCGGAGGGAAAGCAAGTATGGCGATGGGAAAAATTGCAGAGAGAGAGGAGAGAGATTGAGGAGACGAGCAGACTTCTCTTTTTTTGTTCGAATGGTGAGAGAGAGAGGCGTACGAGATGTTAGGGTTTCTCTAATCTGCTTTGTTTTTTAAGCAAAATACTAAATAAATTTTGGGTCGAGATTAGCAAGAGTTTAATGGGCCGAACTCACTTGTAATTGGGTCAAAAATTCAGTTCACAAATTTGGGTTTGGGGTATTAATTCGAGCTGGGCCAACGTCAAACGAATGGTTCGGGCTGAAATATTTAATTTGAATAGTCAAATTGGGCCCGAATAATACTAGCAATAATGATCCGAGAATTAAAACCAAATTGGGTCGGGCCCATGGTCGGAATATTTAGCTCTTTTGGGCTGAAAACAATAAGGCTCGTTTCTGGGTTCCCGAGCTCGATTTATTCCGACAATAAAACTCACTCGATTGATCGCACGACAATTAAAATAAAATTTGGATAATATTTATATATAAAATACACACATTAATTATCTAATAATAATA